TTGTATTTCCAAAAGATGATTACAGGGAATATTTACACAAGGGAGATCTACAAGAAAGCAAAATGGAGTAACCTAAAAACTACTTCGGGGTCACATCCTTGGCAGCCGCATCTTCAGGAGTTGCATCTCGGGGAGTCTCATCCTCGGCAGCTTCATCCCTGTCTCCTTCGCCCTCGGAGGCATTGGCTGAGTCATCTTCTTCGGAAAGTAGAGTGGCCGCCTCTTCTTCCAAAACCTTCTCTGCTTCAATATCGGCTGAAAGATCGAAGCCGCGAGCATGTATTTCCTCGAGAATCATCCTCTAGGATTGCCGCCTGGCATGGTCCAGGGCACTTGCTAACTTAGCCTCCACCGTAAAAGAAATCTCCCTTGACCGGGCATTAGCAGCTTCTGCGTCAGCTTGATAAGAGTCCATAACGGCTGCAGCATCAGATTTGGCCTTGGCCAACTCAGCAGCAGATCAGGTTTTAAGCTCCTCGATTTCAAGGCCCCGAGCTAGGCTCTCCTCCTTCGTGCCTCGAAGCTGGCGTTCAAGAAAAGCTAACTACTCTTTTAGAGTGTCCTTCTCAGAAGCAAGATCATCCATACCTCGCCTCAACCTCAGGGCATCGGCTTCTTTTATCTTAAGCTCCTCCCGAAGTTGCGCCTCCGCTTCGGCTTTCTGACTGAACTGCGAAATTTAACGATGTCAGCCCCTAAAACAAAACAAGTGCGTGACAAACTCTAAGGAACGATCTTACCTTGTTAACATACTCGGCTTGATCTTGGAACACCTGCGTCAGCTCAGTTCGAAGATTATGAATCTCCAACGCTTTCTTTGCATATAAGGCTGTTACGACGTCCCTCTCCTCTGAAGTTTTCTTAAGCTCGGCCTCGCACCGAGCAAGATCGTCTCGGGACTTGGAAAATTCCCTCTTTTGGAGCGCCATAGCCTTCATGAAAAAGAAGGAAAGTCAGATACGGAATAGTTAAAACAAAGGCGCAATAAACAAAAGACTCGCTTATTCAAAAGAGTCTATGTACCTCATTAAAAATGAAAGAAGCATCGGGGTCGGGGCCGTCGTCAAGCCCTTCGAGACATTATCGAAAGATGTCGTTCCCTTATTGGATATCGTGCCCTTCTTGGTTTACTCCCACTCCAGAGGGCATCTCGTTCGTAGCCTCCCGGATCAGCCCCTCGGAGAACTCGGGGCCAAGGGGAGAATCATCCACGTTGATCACCCCGAGCGATCCGCTCGGGGAATTTTCTTTCATCTGAAGGGGCTCGAGGTCAGGATGTTCGGCCTCGCCCTCAAAATGATCTCCTAAACGAGGTGCCTTCTTTCTGGATGATGGTCCGGGGACCCTGTTTGAACTCCCTTCGGAGATTTCTGCAGCCCTAGAGTGGGCCTCATCAGCCGCCGCTGGTTCAGTGACCTTCGGAGTATCAGCATTCTTTATTTTACGGTTCACCAACAAGCAATCATCATCTTCTTCTTTCTTTTGTTCCCGAAGGCGTTGGGCTATTTCCGGGGATAAGGCCGTCGTATCGACCTCAGGTTTTTGAGCCACGCTTTTCTTTGGCTTCAGGGGATTTTCAGATGTCTCCCTTGTTCTCTTTCTTTCTTTGGGAGGTTTCGGAGCCTCCACTTCACTAGCTGGGACCGGCCTCAATGCAACGGCATCCCCAAGACCTGCGTAAAATCAAGATCAGTGTCCCATAACCGAAACACTGAAAAACAAATAAAGAACTCACCATGGTTTTTCGCCTCCCATCGACCCTTGGCCAAATCTCGCCAGCAACGCTCCGAGTAAGGGAGGTGGAGGCCAGCTTTCAGACCTAGTCCTCGAGGTCCGGGACCCCACCGGGAAACCAAACAACAACTACACCATCGCAAAGAATTTAAGTCAAAGGGTAATACAAAGTCAGGAAAAGAAAAGGAAGCAGGGTATACTCACGATTCATGTTCCACTCCTCGGGGAACGGCATCCAATAGACAGGGATAAGATCGGAGGTTTGGACTCGGACAAACCGGCTCATCCACCCACGGTCTTTGTCCTCATCGATACTAGCAAACAGAGATTTTAAGGATCGGCATTGCAACTTTATCAAGCCCTCCCCCCCCCCTCTCGATAAAGTCGAGGACTAAACAATCTGAGCAAATGATCGAGGGTGAAGGACATCCCCTCGATTTGGTTCGAAAAGAACCTGAGTAAGTAAATAATTCACCAGAAGGAAGGGTAGATCTGGCCGAGCGTCACTTGGAACCGTTGGCAAAAGCTGAGGATAACCGGGTCGATGGGACCCTAGGTCGGAATTGCAGGGCCCAATGTAAACGGGTGTGTATATACACTCAAGTACCCCGCTTTATACGTGGTTGTATCTTCCTCAGTGGAAGGAATCACTATCTTTTTATTATTGTCCCATTCGCAATCCTCTTTTACTTGATCAAGCTTGGTCTTGGTTATCAAACAACTATATTGAGACATAGGTTCGCATCGGCCCGGCGTGGAAACAGGTTTTTTGATTTTCAAATCGGATGTTATCT